TAGAAAAAAAAATTGTGGATTGGAATTTAAATTTATCCAATAGAAAGATGCCACGTAATAGTTAATAATAATAAAAATTAAAAAAATAAAAAGTTGTTAGTTTTAAGGGTAATTGTGGACCAAAAAGGTGGACTGAAGGGTATTTTTAACTCAATACGTGAATGAGGAGAATTTTTAAACCTTTTTGAATAGTCTAGGGGTATTTTTGGCCCTTTTCTGTATATTCAATCGTAGCAATTATTGACATCAATTTAGCCAACAAGGCTTGTGACCCAGCACAAAAGTATTACTCTCTCCGTTAATTTTTACTTGTCATTATTTGATTTGACACACTTATTAGGAAAATAATTATTGATATAGGTATTTTACCATACTATCCCTATTAAATAATGTTTAGTATTAGTTCTTGAAAAATGATTTGGAGAATAAGTATTTAATGTTGAGGGTAAAACATGGGGAAAAAAACAATTGTCTTCTCTTGATATGTTAAAAATGATAAGTAAAAATGAAAATCTACTTTAGGAATAAGTGACAAGTAAAAGTGAAAATCTATTTTAAGAATAAGTGACAAGTAAAAGTGCATGGAGAAAGTATTTTCTAAAAATTATCTAAAAAGAGGCACCAACGTTTCAAAAATAGAAAACCCAAAATTCGAAATTATCATGGAAAATGCCACTCTTTTTATATCACATATATATATCATATCAGATATATATATTAATATATATATATTAAAGAACCCTGGGCCCGCCTATGTGGCGCCACCACAAACCATGATTCCCTTTGAATTTATTTTATTTCCAAAACTAGTCTCCCTTGAGTTTTATGAAAAGTTGTGACTTTTATGAAAAGTTGTGATTTTATGAAAGGTTGTGACCTTTACGAAGGGTTGTAACTTTTCCAAAGAGTTGTAACTTTTTTGAAGAGACGCAACAATCATTTGTTCACATTACCCTTTGTTGTCTATAAATAGAGAACTTTCCCCTCATTTTAAAACAACGAAAATTTTGAACTTCTTCGTTTTCTTCTGGAAAATTAAATATTTGTGTACTTTGTTCATGTTGAATGGATCACTGACACCATTGTTTTTGTATCAATACACTGGTGAATAATCATTCTATCTTGAGAGGATCTATTCATTTAAACATCGGGTACTAGAGGGGAATAATTTTTGTTCACACTACCCTTTGTTGTCTATAAATAGAGGACTTTCCTCTCATTTTAAAACAACGAAAATTTTGAACTTCTTCGTTTTCTTCTGGAAAATTAAATATTTGTGTACTTTGTTCATGTTGAATGGATCACTGACACCATTATTGATTTTGTATCAATACACTGGTGAATAGAATCGTTTTATCTTGAGAGGATTTATTCCTTTAAACATCGGGTACTAGAGGGGAATAATTTTTGTTCACACTACCCTTTGTTGTCTAACTCAATTTTTTCCATTCTGTTTCATTTTATTTTTGAAGATCCTAGTATGTTTTTTACAGTCATTAATTTATGCTTATATTATTAATTGTTGTTTTTTAGTACATGCTTTAAAATTTGTTGTTTATGTTTATGCAAAGTTATTGTTATAAGTATTTGTTAGTACAGATTAAATAACAAACGTTATTTGAGTAGTCAATCAAGTTTTCTCTACTGAAATTGTTGAAGGTACAATTAAAAAAGCCCTTACAAATCTCTAATTTCTTCATCAACAACGTCATTCCTTCACATACAAAGATGTGATTTTGTGTTCTTTAGGAAATCCTCTAAGAGTTAATAACTTTGTCATTGCCCATATATTTTGGTTTTTTATGTTGTTGTTATCTATTTTACTAAATTTTATCAGTGGATTATTATGAGTACTTTTAAGGATTGAAAGTTGATTGAAGTGTTAGTCAATTTTTTGAGGTATGTTATTTCAAAACATAGGAACTTTTCAGGTTAAAATGATTTGTTATCATCATTGGATATCTCATAGTTTACTCCCTTTAATGTATGTTTTTTCTCGCTGTTTTGTTGTTTCCTTAAAATTGTATTGATTATTTTTCGTTTGGTATGTATATGATCTCACTTGGACAAAGTTTTTCGTCCTTTAATGTTTTTTTGTTTTTTCCTTCTCATTCAGCTCATCTAAATATTTTTTATGTGAGTTATGATTATTTTCGGCAAGCTTAATTTGAATAATATGAAACAAAACCTACTCTAAATAAAAGTAATATCTTAAACTACAAAAGATATGTCTATTAAAATAGATTTTTTGTCCTTCATGTCTCAAGTCATCGCTGAGCATTTTAGTTATCTAGGTTAGACTCATTTTTAATTTTTTAATGTTCGAGAATCTTTCTTTAACATGAGTCTAGAATCCAACATTTTGATCTACTTGTACTTTCATAATGCAATAATTCTACATACATATTTCTGAAAAAGTTGTAAAGTTGCATTGATGAAACATCTAGAAGGGTCTTCAGAGAAGCGGTTTAATGAAGAATGAATTTCTAAAAGGGTCAACAATATTATTTTGATGTTGGTTCAAATTTATTTTTCTCCTTCTATAAATTTTGGTAGAGTAACAAAGTAACAATAACGAAAAGTGGTGAACTTTTGACCTCAGCCAAGTAGATTGTCTCTAAAAAAATTTATCTATGTTTTTGTGGTGTACCTTTTTTAACGATCTTAACTTATTTATAACTAATATTAGTTATCGAAAACTTTCACATATTTTTTTTTCACAAGGAGTTATTCTAACCATAAAAATTATCAGATTCTATATTTTTCATGTACAAAAAAAATAGAAAAAGTGATGTTTAATCGCTACATAAAAACATCACTCAATTTTAACAAGACAATTATATCAGCAAAACATATATTATGATAAATTATGTAAAAGATAAAAATGATTAGATATCAAGATATTTTTAATCATTAATTATATATTTACAATTCTTGAGATATGTGATAATGTCAAATCATTTAATTTCTGTTGAAATGTTCTAAAAACCTACTAAAATTTACTTTTTTTTTTCTTCTTATAACAATCGATTGTTGTTCAAAAGCTTAGAAAGATTATTTATGCCCGTGCGAAGCGCGGGCAAATTATCTAGTATATATATAAAAGAGAACCTTAAGCCCACCTTCGTGGCGCCATTACAAACTAGGATTCCCTGTTAGTTTATTTATTTCCAAAACTAACATTCCCCTTTTATGAAAAGTTGTGGCTTTTATGAAAAGTTGTGATTTTATGAAAAGTTGCGACTTTAATGAAGAGTTGCGACTTTTATGAAAAGTTGTGACTATTATGAAAAGTTGCGACTTAATTGAAGAGTTGAGACTTTTATGAAAATTTGTGACTTTTATGAAAGGTTGTGACCTTTCCGAAGGGTTGCAACTTTTTCAAATAGTTGTAACATTTCTGATAAGGCACAATAAAATAATTTTGTTTCACAACTGCCCTTTGTTGTCTATAAATAGAGGGATTTCCTCTCATTTTTAAAACAACGAAAAATTCTTAACCTCTTCTTCTTCCTCTTCCTCCTCTTCCTCTTCTTCCTCTTCCTCTTCTTCTTCCTCTTCCTCCTCTTCCCCCTCTTCCTATTCTTCTTCTTCCTCCTCTTCCTCCTCTTCCCCCTCTTCCTCTTCCTCCTCTTCCTCCTTTTATTCCTCCTCTTCTTCCTCCTCTCCTCTTCGTCTTCTTCCTCTTCCTCTTCCTCTTCCTCTTGCCTGAAAAGGACATCTGAGGCCAAAGTTATGACCATTTGAAGTTTCACCAATTTACAACTACTTTTTCAAGTTTCAATCTCTAATTTGGTGAAACTTCAATCTCCTCTTCTTCTTCATAATTAAATATTTGTGTACTTTGCTCCTATTGAGTGGCTCACTGACACCATTGCTTATGTTACAGATCCTGATTTGTATTATTACAATCATTAATTTATGCTTATGTTATTAAGGATAAATGAAACGATGTAATAATTTTTATTTTCCTTTATATTATTAATGTTTGTTACTTCGTAGTTTTGTATGTAAGATAATCTAGTGTTTTAGTTTTAATGATTGATAGGTTTTAAGTATTATTTTATAAATTCCGTGATATTAAATTCCCGCGCGAAGCGCGGATAATTTTACTAGTATATATATAATTGAATATGTATGATATACATGATGAGGGCTTAAAAGATCACCAGATTAATTGGACTGTGTATTTGATTTATTCAAACAATTTTAAAATGTATTTGATATCTTTTCTCAAATTTTTATAAGGAATTTGAATATTAGAAAATAATCTAATATTTTTTTCCTATGAAATTAAGAAACACATGAATATACATTAAAAATCTGAGTCTAATGTCATTTTGGAAGGATCATATTTTAAATTAAGAATAAAATCTGAAATAATACCCTAGAAAAAGGGACATTTTTATAAGAAAAAAATCTATCTAATTACACAAAACATATGTCAATCACTCTATATATAGTTGAAATAATTATATTTTTCTCACTAATTAATAATTTTGCATTAAATTTCAAGTCAGATACACCATTCATTCAGATTTCAAGTCATATATATAGTACCAAATACATTCTAAAAATACAAATACATACGGAAAAAGGTGAGAGAGAATCAGTATATATCTAATATACATGCGAATCACGCTTGAATATAATGTATATGAAACATATTACATTTATAATCCTTCTGTATCTGAATACATTAAATATATGTATACAATGAAGTAAATATAGTAGGGAAGATAATTTCGAAAATTAAAGTGAATACATTAAATATATATATAGGATGAAGTAAATATAGTAGGGAAGATAATTTAGAAAATTAAAGTGAAACACGTAATTAAACCTTAAACGAGTGGGATTTGCCAAATCCATATTACCGACATGCCCAATTGGCACGAAAATGTATTTTAATTATACTAATGCATATAAGCATCCACGTGGAAAATGAGAAAGTAAGTGCTAGCACAAGATAACTTAGCATGCACCCTCTCTCTTTCACAAGTGGAATCAAAACAAAAACATTTTGCAGCTGTTATAAGAAAGCTATACACATTACCTTCCAATTACAGTTTTCACACCTCCTCGCTTCATTGGCCTATCGCCGCCGCTTATACTCGCTTTCCGATCGCCGGCGATTCATCCAACCTTAAGTTATCCAACCGTAGAGTCAGCTGTTTTTTTTTGTTTTTTTGGTTGGGGGTTTAGATGGCGAAGAAGAGGAAGTCTTTGGCATCGAGTATCGATGAGGTGGATCGAACCATGTACTCCACGTTTTGTAGTGCAGCGAATTCGCTTTCACAGCTTTATAGTCAGGCTTTGAATCAACAGAAGCTTTCATTCCAGGCCGGTGAACGACATGGATTGGTATTTATTTATATGTTTTTGTTAATTAAGTAATTAATTTTTAATATATGTTTATTTTATTTTATTTTTGTAGCCCTTTATGTTTACATTTGATTGATTAAGCAAAGGAGTTGTTTAATTAATGCTGATATTATGGAATTGTTGTTTCTGTGTATTTCTGAGACTTGAGGGTTTAGTGTGAAGAATTGCTGTATATTGTTTTGATATGGTAAACCTCAATACCGAACCCATCCCTATCCAGAGTGTAACAGTGGGGTTTTCAGCTCTTCGAACCCTTAACCTCATGGTTGAAGGTGGAGGTCCCTATCAGATGATTCACTATGCTATTCCCAGTTGTCATGATTGTTTATTTTTGGATAATAAATCCGAGTGAACTGGCCTAACCCCAATCGGCCCACAGGTTTGGAATTCAGGGAAGTATGAGTCTGCCCCTTTACCTGCCCACTTAAATACTAGTCTCCTTGTCATTAACCCTGAACCGGAGCCCTTAGGACACCTCACTTGTCGAGAAATGTGCATTTCAATTAACTTTAATAATGTTGTTTGAATATGCGGTTAATAAGTGAATAATAGCCTAAGAGGGACTCAATTTCTCTTCATTCTGGTGTTTAAGAGTAGGAACTGGTTTGTATCTGGATGATTCAGCTCTAAATGTTTTGAACGCTTGCTAATATGGGAGAGCTTATGTATGGTATGAATGATGGGGCTAAGTTCTTTGTTTAGTTGTTTTCAGTGTGTTTTCTCTTCTCTATAGGAATTCTATTGGTGTCTGCAATTGTTGTATGGATAAGCACAATTAGACAACTGTCATGTAAAAATCTTGCACTAATAGCCTCATTTCCTTTTTTGAGAAAGTGAATAGCCTCATTTCTTGATGATAGCTAATGCCCCTTGGTCACATTATATATTTATTACTTTTTGGACAATAATATCATCTGGTCCAGTTCAAGGTTTCCTTAAAAAGTATGGGTCATTTTAGGTTAGACAAATGTGTGTTCTTAGCTTGAGTTGTATGTGTCATGTCTATGCCAACTCATACTTCTTCATTCTCTGGCTTAAAAAATATTCTTTGAGTCTTTGTTGTGGGGCTTTATAAGGTACATTTGGTCTAATTTTGCAGTTTCTACTGGCAACCAAAAGTTATCTGTTTTCTGGAGTATCTATAGAACACTGAATAGAAAGTGACAAGAAATTGGTTGCTTCCGTCGGTTCAAGAGTTTTCAAATTGGTTTGTTGTTCTCTTTGCAGATTTTTCTTCTTCCAACACCAAATTCTCAAACTTTTGACGTTTGTCACGCTCAGTGATTACAGTTTGTATCCAAATATTAGAATGATTGAGCTCGACTGTGTGAAAACTATGTTTATTGATTTGATCTCTTTCGGAACCCATATTGCAGGCTTGTATAGCCTCGCCTTTGCCAGTTGCATGAAGTAAGAGTTCATTGATTGGCTTTAAGGCAAACAACGAGAGTACTAATCATTGTTGTGAGTACTTTTAGATAGGTAATTGAGAAGACCAAACCACAAGAACTACTTGTACATGGGGGTTTTCCCCCTTTAATTAATGAAATTATTCCTTGATTAAAAAAAAGGACAAACTACAAGAGAAGGAAGGAAGGTGTGTCTGGCTAATATATACGTGAAAACACGTGGGGAGGAGTATGGAAGGGAAAAGCATGCACCTGATGCACTCAGTTGGAATGCTTGCAAGAAAGGGATTAAAAAGAACAAAACAAAAGTAGCTTGAAGAAGCAAAGCCGGATATTATAGGTAGCAGGGAAAAGAAGAAAGGTGAACAATTTCTACATGCTTAGGATAGCTTTTTGTTGACTCTAAGTAATGGATGGCTGGAGGTGAACAATTTCTACAGGCTAAGGATAGCTTTTTGTTGAAGACACTAAGTAATGGGTGACTGGAGATGGAAGAGGTTGTTGGAAAATCCCTAGATGCTAAATTTGTACATCAGATTGCCTTGGCCATAGCATAAAATAAGAGGTCATTGATTGGTTTTGATGTGAAGAATGAAAATAATAACTAGACATCAATTGAATTTTACCAATCAAAACGAAACATCTATAGAATTTGGATAGGCAGTTCTGAATGTGAACCAACAAGAGAAGGATAAAAGGTAGAAGGTAATAACTCTGATGTATTTGTTCCTTTTCCTTATTAACAAAAAGGTAGAAGGTAATAGCAGGTTTGATAGCAAAGAGTAGAAGGTAATTGGTAGACAGCTAATAGAAGGAAAGAAGCAGTGGGTGATTGATATACATGAAGAGGTATGTTTGTGCAGAAACAGGCAGAGGTTTTAGAGAAGTTGGGGGAGGAGTAGAAGTGGAAAGCATGCACATGATGCGCTCAAGTGGAATGATTCCCTTGAAAGAAAGGGCTAGAGAAGAACCAAAATATAAGTCCTTACCCCCCACCCCCCACCCCCCACCCCAAAAAAAAGAAAGAGAAGAGAAGAGCCAAATAGAAGCATCTAAGAAGCAAAGGTAAAGGATAAGGATGGATAACAGGAAAAAGAAGAATGATGAAAAAGCACTAAATACTTAGGACTAGTTACTGAACGCACTGACAAGTGGGAGACAGGAGATTGGAAGCGTGTAAGTTGGGAAAAGCCCTAAATGCTAAGGTTATATGTCATTGTCCTTGTCGGTAGTATGACATACGAGAGTATTCATCAACTTTAATAGCTTTTAGATAAACAAGTGATAATCCACTCGGTGATATACATGAAGGTTATGTGTTGTGCTGAAAGAAGCTGAGGCTTAGAGAAGTTGGAGGAGGAGTATGGTAGGGAAAAACATGCATTGGATGCTTTATCAAAAAAAAAAACATGCATGGGATGCCCTTAGCTGGGATAATCCCTCTAATCAAACACGATATTATTTTATGCAAAATTTTATGTTGAGATTATTTTCTTAAGACTTCCAACCAAAAGACCCGAAAATGCTAAAGGAATCTTTAGCTCCCAGGAAAGGGTAGTGTGGAAAGAAATATGGTACAGAGTAAAGAGTGTTAGAAGAAGAAAGAAGAAAGGGGGAAAACTTTAAATGTTAAACGATGCTTGTGTAGGTCCTTGGATGCTAATCGCTGTGCTAGCCAGTAGATTTTTCTTCAACCCCATCATCTGGAACAGAACTTTAGCTCATTTAAGTGATAGAACTTGATTGTAGCGAAATACATATAATCATAACAAATTCACCGAGTTTAGAAGGTTGTGATTGGTCCAAAGGTCGGGTCACAGACAGATTTCTCGGTTATCAAAAATAAATAAAAAATAAAAAAAATAACAAATTCAGTTTGAAAATCTGTTTGGGTCGAATAGCATCTTAGGATGCATCAACAAAATTAGGATTCAAAACATTAATACCTCAGTTTTATTTTTGTTTTAGATTGGACTTGGTGATAACTGATAATTATTTCCCAAATTTACAATATAGTTATGCCTTTAATCTAGCTACGAACGTGCAAGTACATATTGTTTCTAAGCTTTCATTTTTTATTTATTTTTAACTGATTTCTAAGCTTTTATTATGCCTTGTGCTTATTAAGGTTTTATGATGTTTTTGCTGTTAGACATTTTGCTTTGTTATGTTTTAAAGTGAATGATCTAGTTAGGTTGTGGAGGTTTAGTTTCCAATGAATTGTGAGATTTATTTTTGACCTTATACAACATGTCTTTATAGGAGAAAATGTATCAATGGATCTTGAGGCAACAAGAGGGAGGATCCAGAGTAACAACTGCTGACATGATGAACTACCTGCAGGTTCTCTTGGCTAACTTTTAAGTTGATTTCTTTGATTTATCTTTCATGTTATATGCTGTGGAGTTCTTTTATCTGCTAATAGCTCGTGAGATTTGTTCTTTGGTTAGGAGCAGTATGATCCATGATAGCGAGATGTTTGAGGTGTTCTAGTCCATCGATCTCTATTTAAGCTCAGTTTCCTTTCATAGAGAAAGCTCATCCCTTTTCCACTGGAAAGTGGGTAGACCCAGGATTTGATCTTCTTGTGGGATTCAAAACTAAAATGACTGATCATTATTAGAATAAGAAAGGGAGGCCTGATGCATGAAGCATCCCACATTCACACAGGGTTCGGGAGGGACCATGCCCGAAGGGAATAAGAATAGTGGAAAAATTCTTGATGAAATAGAGAAGAGATAGAAACTGACCTGAACTTTCATTCGGCGCACAAACCACTCGGTTCATAGAATCTGCCAATCTGGTGACTCACTGTTTCACCGTTGCTCACCATGGTGTGGCCTCTTAGCTATCCTCCTTTCAGAGTTTGTATGCTTGAAATGCATCAGTTTTATGCTCCCACCTTATCCCAGTTATTTCTATTCCTCCACTAGAAGTAACAGAATTCATATATTCACTGGAAAGTTCCCAACTTACACTTTTATTCACAATTCTGTGACCTTTACCTACCAGATAGTAGGGCATATATAATATGCTTAGCATCCAAATTGAATTCTTTTGTGGTAATTCTTTTCTGATAAGGAATGTAGTTCTTCTTAATCTTACTCAACATTCCTCGTGAAATTCCACCAAATGATGATCAACACTATGTTTTGTACTATTGTGTGTTCTCAATTGAGAATACCTCTTGTATTATGGTGCTTTCCTTTATCAAAGAAATTACACTTTTCTTGATAATCGATAAATCTCTGAGGGCACAATGCACAATTAGATACTCGGAGGTAAATGGTCCGCCCTTCTACTATTCATCACTTAAATACCAGGCATTTGTCTACGAAAAACCTGCATCATGCGGCCAATGATCAAATGCCAGGCATTCTACTATTCATGTAGTAATTGATATGGTATGGAAATTTGGACCAGAAGAAGATTTGAGACAGCAACCATTCAAGCTACTTATGATTAAAATCTGATTTTCTTCAGTTATGATTAATAGACTTGTGTTATTTATAAGAAAAATGATTTGTATAAGTGCTTCTCGTGCTTACCTTCTAATTCTCTCCATTCGCCTATTTTTAGTTGAAGAGTACATGTGCATGTCTTATTTAAATTTAGCACAAAATTTATCAGGTACTGAAAAGATGGTCTTTTTATAATACTATTAAAATCTTTTTGCAAGTAATTCAGGAGATCATAAGTTGCCAGTTTTAAAAAAATGTAGTTCGTGAGATCATGCATCTTTGAATCCTTGTTATAATGGAAAAATAGTACCCTAGTTGATGATAGTTTCCTGTATTCTGTGTGTGAGAAGCTGATTTCATACTGTGCTGATACTGAATTGAAAATTATGTGGAGGTTGCAAACATTTTTTCCTTATTTTTCCGGTTTTCATCCTTTTTTGGTTTCTACTTCAGTGAATGATTGGTCATAATAATCTGAGACATCCTCCTACTTTTTCTACATTTGATCTGTATGTTGTTTGTCCGAATGTGCATTTACTGATCTTATCTGAAAGTGCATTTAACTTGTCAGTCGGAACTGGACTACAGTGGAGAGGACCATTCAATGTCGCCTAGACCACCGCAGAACCAACATTCTCAACCAATGCATTTTGCAAATTCAGGTTTCCCAGTCTCTTCAGGCTCAATTGGTGTAGCAGCTCCAGGACATGGTGTACGATCGGATCATGATCCGCAATCGAAGAATTACGTTTTCTCAAATGCTCTTTCAAGCCCTGTTCGGCAAAGCCTGCAGAATTATCAAGTTGCTCAAGGAGGTTACTTTTCAAACAACGTTCAGCCTTCAAATGGAGCAAGAAACAACGAAACGAACCTCCACCACCAAAATAGGGAGTCCAATAGCTATAACTCAGCTGATGCGTCCATGGATATGCATTCTGATAGCCCTGGTCATGATTTTACTTACTGAAGTAGTCTGTAAATAGAATGTTTCTGGAGTTGCTTCTCGTCATGCCGTGGTATTCAAGCAGCAAGTTCAGGTTGATTGATTGTCGTGTGTAGCAGCTGTTGTCAGGGAGAAAATGCCGTTATTGAATTGGCTGTTTGATTCAGAGATTGAAAGGTGCGTTCGTGTTGGCTCGTAAATCATCATTCTGTTGTCATGCACATGTGCTCTTACGTAAAATGCAACGTGATGGGCATAATACTTGCTGAATACACTGTTGTTTCTGTTGAACTAGTTAGTTCTTTTCGATCTTCTATGATGTTTATGGAGTATTACTTTAGTAGGGTATAAATATATATAGATATATGATTGCGCTCATTTGTTGTGACTTGTGACGTTCGATTGCATATGTTCTTTTTTTTCAAATTGACATACCTTGCATCTTTGCCTCAGCTCAGACCCTTACACTCTTTTCCACGCTTGAAGGCTCATTTAGGGTGTGTTTGGTATGGAATGTGTTCCTATTTTCTCATGTTTGGTTGGTCTGGTTGGTCGATATGTTTTAGAAAAAATATTCTTCAAGAACACAAGTTCCTGAACCTAAAAATGAGAAAAATGACTTTCCTTATCGAAGTAGGGGAATTAAGTTGCATGAGTAACATTCCAAGTTCATTGTCTCTTTTCCACCCACTCAATGCCTCTCCAACCCTCACCCCTTGATCATCTCACCTCCACCACCCCCGAATCCCCACCCTATCCCATCTCCATAGTGTTTTGTTAGATGATATATAAATGTCTACAAGTTTTCTCACATTCCTTCCCCAGTGTCACCAAGCAAATGAATGCAACACACCTTGTTGATAGTCGGTTGGATCTTGATTCCCCACCTTGTAATTTTCTCCTCATTTATCTTTCCTATGTAAAATACAAAATTTTAAAAATGTATGAAGCAATATTTAGTTCCATCAACTCACAGTGTTCTATTTTTGTTATAGATGACCCCCCTTAATGTCTTTTTATCAATCAAACACTTGTTAAAGAGGAAATTGAACGAGTGATATATGAAGACAAAGAATGGTTGTACACAAATTTCTTCCTCACATATCAAATGGTATGTATAAAGAAGAAGAAAAAAGGAACTAGAATGATTTATACCAAAATGTTTACTTAACTGAACTTTTTTTAATATTAATAATCCAGTTTTTGAAAGAGGATGATTTTAACATACCAAATTCAGATGTTGTGAGCTCTTATTCAAAGCAAAATCTTACATTTCCTCTCATCACGATTCAAATTTATTTTTTTCATCAGCGGTATGAGTAGAAATTACTATTTGTTAGACGTTTTATCTTGATTTTCTTATCATATCTGCAATTATTAGCTTACGGATGAGGTTCTGTTATTTCGATCCACACTATCAGTATGCCAGTCTATCACAATGGTTGGTCGATGAACAAGGCTTGACATGGACATGTCGGCACAAATCACAATTATACAAAGCTAAAGCTAGAAATGAAGATAAAAAAGGGAAATAAAAGAGTGGGGGTCCAAATTCCAAATTTCTATATAGGTGCTATTTGCAAAAACAAGTAGGGTCCAAGAGTTAACCACATAATCAAGTTGGTGCACCACCAAAGGGGGTGATCAGTGGATGAGGTTGTTTCTTTTTTTTATCAAAGCACAAATCATGGATATGAAAAAATCTTTGGCAGTGAACGCTACCTCCCAAATGAAATTCTACCTGACACGAATTCGAATTAGTTGGACTTCAGTGTGGATATCAAACGCAGTACAGAAAACCCAAAAAAAATAAAATAAGTTGGTGCTACATACAAATTACAAGGTGGAATCCCATGCAACTTGTTTGCACTTTTATGAGTCTATATATGAAAAATTGATTGATGTATGCCAATTTGGTCTTCTTGATGTTGAATTTTCTTGGAACCTTTTTACTTAATAACATTTGTCACATGCTGTATTGCCCCACTGCTACTATTTAGCTTAGAAAGATCAAAATTCTCAATCTTGAAAAAGTGTAAATGGAGACAAACTGAAAGAGATGTGGTTTTTTAATTAATTAACTGCTAAACCTTTTTTTTTGACAAACTTTTTACACTTTAAACAAATAAAATTTGCTTCCATTTCTAAAGGTAATTGAAGCCTCTTTTCAATTACAACTAAAAATATTTGTAATACTTCTTGAGAATATGCTTCTCTTTGCCTTTCCTTTCTCTAACATCCATGAACTTAAAGTGGAGTTGGTGTTCAAATGATAATTTTAAGAGTTAAAAAGTTGTTCACAAATAGGATAATTAGGCATGTGACATGAAGCATAAGCCTAAGATACTTGTAGTGGAAAGTGATAAATGCCCATTATAATGTTAAATTCATTCTTAATTATGCTTATGTTAACATTTCATAATATGTAGTATACAATATATATATGCTACGTAATATTAAAAGATATATATATATATTAATGATGTTTTTGGTTAGGTGAGATCAACCATATAAATCTTGTATTTGTCTTTGTTTAGTTCTATTATTCATATACTTTAAAATTGTTAGATTATAGAACCTATTGTAACTCACATTATTGCTATGAAAGAAACGGATCTTGAATCTAATTCAACTTCAAAAGGCGAAAGTTAACTCATGTGGTGAGAGGAGTATCTAAGATCATATAACAAGGTCAAGACACTTGATTATACTTCACATCACTGATGTGGGACACAACATCCCCAAACGTCGACATATGTCGAGTAAATAATGAATTAGACTATTAGAGTGGTTCTGACGCTATTCCATATGTTAGAAAAAAATAAACTTTGATTTCAATTCAACCACAAAAACTAGCTCATGATTAGGTAAAGAGACGAAGACACCCACACTCCACCAAATTCTTATTATTTCTTAGTTGAAGTTTCTATATTGATTTTTTCTTCCTTTTATGAATGTTATAATTAACTCCTAATTATTTGTCATGCCGACCTCTTTGATAGTTTGTCCATTATCTCTCGTCTAACTCAATTATTTAACTGTATGACTATTGTGATTTGTGATGGAGAGAGAAAGGAGGGATGCCATCTTCTTTTACCATCTGATGATTGAAAATAAAGTGCTTCCAAGTATATAATTATTAGAATTATTCAAGACGTATTTACGACGTAATTAATAGAGAACTTGACCATCAAATTTATGGAAACTTATTTGTTACGTTATGAGAAAGGGAGATCAAAGAAGTATGAAGTAGATATATGAATTAAATAACGATAGCGGATCTTAAGAGACGGAAGAAAAGGTGAACTTGATCAATCAACTATTTATATAAGTTTAAACAAATGTGATTTCAAATAATGTTGATAATTCTGTGAAAATGGATTTTGAGTAACATGCGTGCTAGATTTCTGGTTAGTAATTAAACAGATTGTCTCGTCTATGGCAAATTACAACTACTTTTTTTCCTTCTACTTTCATTCAGTGTTTGATATTCGCTTTGAAGTTCGACTAATTTAGATTTGTTGCAGAGAAATTCCACTTTAGGGTGTTAACACTCCCTAACAAAAATGATTCCATACCCAAAAATCAAACTCAATACCTCCGCTTAAGGATAGCACCACAATATATATAGGGTTTTTCTATTTTTTACAAAATATGTTTTACAACTTTAGTATGTGGAATTTATGTGTCCCCGTTTAGCTGTCAATTAAACAAAGAGTAGGGCTTTATCTAGTTTTTGACCTATTGATATACTTCTTTCGTTTCAAAAGGAGTGACCTCCTTTCCTTTTTAGACAATTTCAAAAAGAATTTCTTTTTTGGTAACATTTTAATTTCAGCTTTTTACGTAACATGTTTAAAGCCACAAGATTGAAGGGCAATTTAGTATATTTGACATAACTTTAATTTAGGACAACAGGATTCAAAAGTCTTCTTTGTTTTCTAAAATTTTGTGTCAAGTCAAACCAGGTCACTCTTTGTGAAACGGAGGGAGTACAACATTTGTCTCCTAAAAGTTAACAGTATCATGTACTTCATGTTATTCATTAATTAATAAACTTTGTACTACTAATTGTCAAATTAGTCAAGAAGAAGAAGAAAAAATATCTACAAGTACTAGGTTATTGATAAAAAAATCTAAATTACTAATTAGATGGTCAATATTATTAATGATTTGATTGATCCAAAATTGTTTTCAACTTTTTCTTAGGACTTCATCCATCCTTACCAACTACCCTAAGATAATAAAAAAAAAATTGCCCCCTCCTCCCTTTTTTAAATGATTTTTTAGTCTGTTTAAAAATAATTCAAAATAATACTCCTATGTCATTTTTTAAAATTAAAATGTTTCTTTTCTCGTTTTGAACTTTGCTATAATAAATTGTGTGAGCAACTTCATGAAAAAGCCTTTCAACTACACTTCTCGAAAACAAAGACAAAAGGATGATAAATATACTCAAAATGGCCACTTTAATTAATGTAATTAATCAAATTTTTAAATGATGTGTCACACACCTTAGAAAGACATTTAAAATAGATTGGAGGGAGTATATATATTTTTTTCATATGGTTGTTGCATGATTATTGAGGATAAATAATATACTAAGTTATTTTACTCATTGAAATACGGATTGAAAATACTCCCTCTATTGATCACTTTTACTTATTCACTATAAATATTAAAATAATGACAATTTTTACTTGTTCAAATTAAAAAATCAAGAGATAATTATTACTCCCTCCGTCCAACAATAGTTGTCCACTATACTGTTTTGGGATATCCAACAATACTCCCTTCGTTCATTTTTATATGTCATCCTTACGATAAATAGTTGATCCATAATACTTGTCATTTCATAAAATCAATGCATAAATTATACTAATATTTTTCCTATTAAAAGCTTTTTTTTTTAAAATCAATCTAAAAGGGCTCTAAATTTAGAAACTCAATAATTAGTTATCTCTTAATTTTTTTAAACTTAAAAATAAATTTATTTTTAATATAATAAACAAGTAAAAATAAGTGGAGGAAATAATTGCTTTTGAAAATTTAGTGATTCTTGTGTGATGCATTGAATTTTGCAAGTTAGAGAATTGATGTTGTCAAGAAGTCAGCTTTGGTCAAAGCTTAGTTCTCGAGACTCATACTTTGACTTTAATTTCCAATAAGATCTCTAATATTTAGAGAACCTCATAAATTATTTTACCTGATTAAATTCTAAAATTACATTTATATTATAAAGTTATGCTATTTTTTTAATACAATGAATTACTCTTTTCAACCAACATAAAACACTACAGAAATGCTCCACTGCATTAATGACCCAAAATTGCTACCACCAAAATGCAGCAGAGCCATATGTATCAACCGCTCTTGATTAAAAGTTTTGAATTTAAAAATAATAATC